AACGGATGGTGAATCAGACAACACTGTGCTGATGGAAGTTGTGGTGTCATTTGTAGCCATTTTTATTTGCTGGTTCTGGGTGCTCATTGGCTGAGTGCTGGCTGGGTCAGGTACATAAAAACATGGTACACTCATTTAATGGGAGTTTGTTTTTCATTTCAGACAGTGAGTGTCGTATTGGAGATTGAGACAAGAAGTGTGGATTTGTTTTGCCTAGTGAACCTATTAGACACATACTACCTTCCCCCACATTTCCTGTGTGCGCTTCCAACCAAGTCCAGTGGCTATTTAACCAATAAGCCCATATTTAACCCATATCTGGGGGGGGGAGAAGAAGAGATGGATTCCTATCTTTCCCCAAGAATATTTGTGCATAATTGAATGTAATGAACTTGACAGGGATTTGAACTTAACTCTGGTTTCTCATTCTGGGTCACTATCCATTACAACACCCGCACATAAATTTTATACATTTATCTATTCATTCTTTCCTTGTCACTGGTTCAACTATATTAATGTATATTAATAATAGGGTTATGGCCATATGTTGAAACATTGGTTCCTATATAATCACTAAATTTAAGTAATGTCAAGTCTAGTCTGCATCTAGATGGGTGACCACTTGGGAATACCAGGTGCTGTAAGCTTGGATGTCCTAGTGATGTGATTGGATAATGGCTCAGAAATATTAATTGGAGAGCAGAGTTCAAATTCTAATTGGATTTGTCATTCACTTACACGCAAATGCCCTTTGGAAAGATGAATCCACCTCTTCTCTCTCAGCTATGGGTTAATTAGTAAGACTTGTATCACTAAATCATTAATATTGCAAAAAAATTCTTACAATCTAAAAATATTTTCTAGCTAAAGCTAGAAAATATTTTTAGATTGTAGGAATAACCTGCAAAGGGTTGATAAGCCATAGAAAACCACTAAATCAATAAAATACTAATTAGTTGCACTGGGATGTTTTTTTAAGATATTTACATTCTCTGGAATATAGATATATAGAAATTACTGTGACCACAAAGTGAGGGATCAGTTTATATAGTGATTGTAATATAGAATTGATCCCCACTTTATATCCACATTATAATTTCTTGTTTATCAAATTCCACCTCTTCACCCACCCCATGATTATGGGTTAATTAGTAAGACTTGTATCACTAAATTATTATCTAAAAAAAAAAAAAAAAAAAAAAAAAAATGCAATCCAAAAGATTTTTTGGCTTTAAATAACCTGAAGAGTTGATAAGCTGTAGAAAAACAAATCAATCAAATATTTATAATTCTTCATCTTAGAAATTTTGGTAGATTTAGTTGAGAAATTATAACCTGTTTAAAATGCTACACTATCAATTATATATATATATATATATATATATAACACAATTTTGATTGTATTCATAGTAAATTAGGCTTAGGCAATAATTGCAACCCAACATTTTAGGTTGGGATACTTCAGAATGTTAAATGATGCAAAGATAATAGTTGACACATTATAGCACTAATAAAATAGCAGGATGTTATTTAAATTGGTGGGGGTCAAGAAGGTCCCTGTGACAATTAACAAGTCTCTAATTCAGAACAGCACAAAGTAGATCAACAGTTGAAGGCTATTTATTAATCTTAAGGTCAAAGTTACTTTTGAAAAACTGAGTCAGCCTACAAACTTTGAAAAGCTGTGGCTGTTCAACAGTATGAATATAGTTTTGTTTTGTGCTTTTTTTTCTTTTCTTTTTGCATATCAAGATACGAGTCAAAATTTTAACCTGTGTTTTCAATTCTACATTTGCTGGTATAAAAGCACATTTTTGGACTTTTACATTAACATATCAGGAGAATATGTCAATAATTGCCTAATCAACACCACTAGGATGGGGGTGGAGGTGAACAAATAGAAGGCCTGTTTGGATGTCACAACAAGTAGTATTGTGGTGTGTGTGCCAGAGATTTGTTGGTGCTAATTTTATCAGAAGTTTGGAAATAAAAGAAATGGATCTCAAAAAGTATAAGGTCTAATAATATATTTTTATTTATTTGCTTTAGAGTAAATCATTTGGTATTTGGTGTAGCAAAATGTTCATTTATAAGGTGAATATTGGTAGTAGTTTGGAGAAATGTGCATTTCAGCTCGGTAGTGGGTAGTTTTGGAGTCAGACCTTGCTTGTAGTAGTAGTCATCTTAGAAATAGATCAGTGTCAATCTACTGAGCAGAAAATATGATCTCTTAAATACTTCTTCACACATCATGCATTGCTGGTTTCTCTGGCAGTAGCATCTCTTATCACTCTCCTCTTCTAGCTTGGAGCTGTGAGCTTATATATTTTTGACCATGCTCTGACACTGGTACGAAGCTTTGTTTCAGCTAACATCAAAAATCTCCGTGTTCATTTTTTTGATTGACCATAATTATTATTTTATTTTCTGGTATTCCTTTTTAAATTTTTTTATATAACAGAAGTTATGTGTTGAGTCCATCTTATTTTTGTAAATTTAGTCATAAATAATTAGGCTATGGTCCCAGAAACTTCTGTCGTCTTTTGGCCAGTTTCAGTCTTTTCTTCTTTTTCCACTTTTTATTTGAGGGCTGCCTTCTCGTTAGTTGAGAGAGAAGTATATAGTGTTATGAATTCATAACATAAAGTTATGAACTCCAGGTTAAAAAGAGAAAAAAGATGAAAAACGTGGGTTCACTCAGATAGGAACACGAAAACAAGTACTGATGAACAACAAACATGAGATTAACATTTGTAAATAAATTTTATATAGTAAAATACAAAATATGGGAAAAGTATGGAGTGAAAGACGTACAAATAATAAAAGAACAGAATGATATTAGATGTCAGTTCAAATGTTTGTGTTTCAGGAATTGGGAGTTCAAATGTTTGTAATGACAGACAAAGTAGCTGTAGAATGTTCACAAAAGTTAGTTCTTTCTTCTGCAATGTAAAATATAAAATTTGGGAATAATGTTTGTGTTCCATTTCCCCTTGGTTAATTGGATTACCTTCAAGATGAAAGTAATATGTTTTCTATGTATCTATTTGGATACAATATTCCTTTATTCTTTACCCATTAAATAGTCAAATAGACCCAAGATCTCAGGGATGAAATTTCCTTATTCCCTACACAACAAGTAATGGAATAGGCTTCTGGGTGTATTTTTCATCTCTTACCATCACATGATGAGAGTCTATTTTTCTCGAGAACTGTTGTCATCGGAGGCCATTTGGTCAAACTAACATTACAGCACCAAAAACCCATGTCACACAAGTGTAGTTGACTGATTCTTACTCACTTTCTTAGGTCATTTTGTTTATTGTCAAGTGACCCCAAATTCCTTTCCTGGCCTTTTAACAGGCTCAGTCCAGATAGGAACTAAAAAAAAAAAAAAAAAAAAGTGAAGGAGGAACACAAAGACAATGTGTCTTATTAAATTTATTATATCTTATTTACCTGTTAATACTGAGGGCCATATCACGACAGAGAGAAGGAAGAGAGAAAAGGAAGATGGATTTTAAAGAACAGCACAAATGCCTTATTTTAATTTGCATTCTATTTTCTGTTTATATTATATTTTATCAGGAGTCACTACAGTATAAGCAAAGCTGATGAAAATGAATGATTGTAGGCTTTTTTAAGTATAGAATACATTTTAAATTACAATGAGTGTTTTGTAAAATTTGAAAGAGTGTGAGAGGAAAACAATGCATAACTGACCTAGCAAGCTTGAGAAAATGAATTGCAGAACAATGTTTAGGAGGGATAAAAAAATACAAAATTTATTAAGAGCCACAAAAAACAGGAAATTGTGGAGAGCAGAAATCGCTCACGTCCTAAAGGGACATGGCATATAGAAGATTTATGATTCATTCATTTTCTAAGGCTTAACCCTTTGTTGCTTATTTAAAGCCAGAAAATATTTTTAAATTGTAGAAATTTATGGTGGGTGGGAAGATAATAATGGTTTAGGGATAAAAGTCTTACTAATTAACCCATAGCCAGGGGAGAAGAGGTGGATTCATACCTTTCCCAAATGTATTTGCAGGTAAGTGAATATAACAAAGCCAACAGAAATTGGAACTCAGCTCTCTAAATGACAATTCCAAGCCATTATCCTTTACAACACTAACACAATCCAAGTTTACAGAATGTATTCCCAAATGGTCACCATTCTAAATACTGACAAGGCTTGACATTGCTTAACTTCAGTGATCACATGGGAATGATATTTCAGCATGATGTATCAGTAAGCCGGAGCATAGAAGATACATGGCTAGGGATTTTTTCATAATTGTTATGAGTTGCAGGTGTGGAGATTACTTTAAATTACATTAAAATGCTTAATTATCCTTTGAGTAATGTATTCAAAATTAAATCTGCTCCTGTGGTTATACATGGAAAGCTTAGAAACACCTGACAATGTTATTTCTGTTCTGTTTTAATCAGATTAAAACACCTGAATGAAAAATAAAGAGATTGCTTGAAAAATAAGAGAAAGGCAAATTGCTCTAATTAATGGCATTCATTTTTATTTAGTTTGATACTGAAGAATAAATCCTGGACATTCCTGCTGTCATCTTATCCAGTCATTGAAAATTCTATTCTTTTTATTGTGTTTGTAATTTTATCATTTGAAAAGATTTTCTTTTTTTAAGTTAGAATTTTTGAAATTTGATATTTTGGCGAAATGCTAAACTCTCATTCGAAAAACTGTTTCCACCCAGATAAATGAAAAAAAAAAAAAAAAAAAAAAAAGATATTAATATTAAAAATATTTTTGCGAGAAAATTTGTCAGCCTTGAACTCTGAATTATAAGAACAGAATTTCTCATCTGAAAATCTCAGATGTCAAATAAAAAATAGGAATGTGTGTTGGGTATACTGCAAAAAGTGATTGGTTAAGAAAGGTTCTTTTACAGAGTCAAAAAACAAAGAATGGAGGAAAGAGAAAGAGACTGTGAGAGGAGAAGCAAAATGGAGGTAAGAAGAAGAAATTAGGACAGAGGCAGTGAGGAAGGAAAAACAAAAGGAAGGATGAAAGAGGAACGAAGAAAAGGGGCGGGGAAGGAAAGAGAAACAAAGACCAGAAGGAGGAAGGAGAAACAACAAGGGTAGGAGTAGGAATGAGCAATAATGACAAGGAGGAAGGAGAAATAAAGACAAGGGGTAGGGGAAGAAAGGAGAAATAAAGACAAGAAGGAGAAACAAATACAAAGCGGAGGAGGAAGGAGAAACAAAGACAAGTAGGAGAAACAATGACAACATGTGGCAGAGGAAAGAGAAACAAAGACAAGAAGGAGGAGAAACAAAGACAAGAAGGAGGAGAAACAAAGACAAGGAGGAGGAGAAACAAAGACAAGGAGGAGGAGGAGGAAAGAGAAACAAAGACAAGGGGTGGTGGAGAAAAGAGAAACAAAGACCAGAAGGAGGGAGGAAAAACAAAGACAAGGAGGAAGGAGAAACAAAGATAAGGGGTGGGAGAGGAAAGAGAAACAAAGATAAGGAAGTAGGAGAAACAAAGACAAGAGGGAGGAAAGAGAAACAAAAACAAGGGGTGGCAGAGGAAAGAGAAACAAAGTCATGTGGTGGGGGAGAAGAAAGAAAGACAAGGGTGGGGGAGAAAGGAGAAACAAAGAAGAATGAGGAAGGAGACAAAGACAAGGTGTGGGTGAGGAAGGAGAAACGAAGGCACGAAGGAGGAAAGTGAAACAAAGACAAGAGGTGGGGATGATGGAGAAACAAAAATTTGGATTAACTTCAAAAACACTTCTAAGATTTCCCTAACATTGTTAAAAGATTGCCTCAGTTCCCATCACATACTTGTGGTTTCAATCCCTGGGCCTGCCTGCTAGTGTTTAAAAGTGGCATACTTTTTTTTGAGAGGAGGAAGTGGACAAGCAGCAAAAGACTGTTAGGTATTAACAGATATGAAATATTTGCTAAGCAGTGAAGGCAGAATGAGTCCAATATGCAGATCTTGGCTCTTATACTGGAAGTTGTTAGTTCAATCCCTGTGAATGGCAGGGCTCTAAGTAACATTGTTTGAGAGGAAGAAGTGGACAAGCAAACCAAAAGTGAATAAGACTGGTAAGTATTAACTGATATGAAATATCCTCTAAGCATTGAAATTAAATGAAAATCAATCTACCTACATAAAGTGTTCAGTTCAAAATTCAAAGAATTTACTAAATATGAAGACAGGCACCTGATCTTTATTGATTGAAGGTGTTAACATGTATATGTTTTATCTTAGTAGATTTAGATGGGGTACAGTAAATATTCAATACCACCTGTTAACTTGTGACTTATCAAGAATTGAACCTGAGACCTTCTTGTAATAAATTGTAGGTTGGTTTGATTTAAATAAGACTGTTTCAGCCAATTAGCGCCAGGCTTGGGATTGTAGCAGGCACTACTTAAGACACACACAAATTTGTTCAGTTGTAAAAAGTCATTTGCCTGGGGAGATGTTAACAGTCTGAGGGATTGGATTAACTGTGTCAGTGCTCATTTCACTTTACTAATTTGCTTGTCAATTGCCTGGCTGTAACCAGTTGGGCATGTCCCCTGGGGACTGACACACTGAATTTCTGTTCAAGAGCTGCCAGATTTTGAGTGTTTTTTTTTTTTTTTCTTTTATTAAATTTAAAAGACAAGACAACAAAGATGACTTTGCAGTTCCACCTAGATACTTGAGAACTCTCTCAGAGACTGAGTGAGCAAACTGAAGGTATTTCTAATTGGATCTGGCATGCAAGGTTATACACTGTTTTTATCAATACCTGTTACCAAGACTTGCACATTTGGTGGTAATGCATGTGCCTGAGATACCTTAATCAGACTGGGTATCATGATTGTTAATCTGAGAAGACTGAGTTGTCTCCTCTTGTCTATAGATAAAAGGAAATCTGTTTGGTGTGATCTCCTCTTTGTTTGTTATTGTTGTAGTTTCCTTTGACAAGATGGGTGTCTGTGGAAGGAATAAATCATCAATTGTAGCAGAGCACAGTTTCTTTTGTGTGATAAGAAGCTGTCTTGTTCAGCAAATGCTGAAACACATTTAAAAGAAGAATGGCTTCCTTTACAAAACACCCACCTGTTTTGGTAAATGAAGAGGCATATGCTGAATTGAAGCAAGATATAGGCATATGGTTTATATTCACAGACTTACCTAAAGAGAAACAAGGCCCTGCTGTGTTTTTGTCATTACCACAAAATATAAGAGAATGTGTTCGACACTTGGCAATAACGGATATCGGTGGAGCAAATGGATTAAATATAATTATTGACAGTGGACAAAATTTACTTGCTGGACGAAAATACAATGGCATACATGTCATTTAAGGAATTTTATTCCTACAAAAGGGCAGCCGGAGTTAATGTAAATGAATTTTTGGTATGATATGAATTTCTGTATCAAAAATTATAGAAATTTGGAATTTCTCTACCAGAAGGAGTCCAGACCTTTTTTGTTCTGAATGCAGCAAATGTATCGGAGGAAAATGAAAAATTAGCAAGAACCACATGTTCCAGCTTAACATATGCAACAATGAAAGATACACTGAAGAAAGTAGTTTCTGATATTTTATCAACAGAATGTAAAACTATCCCTGCTATCAAAGAAGAAGTTGAAACAGTAAATTTCAATAGATATAGAAGTATTCCTTAGACCACCATCTGATGTGTGTCCAGAATCACAGGTGTGGAAGCTGAAAAGATGCATTTATAGTTTAAATGATGCACCTCGTTCATGGTACAAGCGAATTAATCACGAGTTAACTCGTTTGAAGGGAATGGTGAGTGCATACGACAATGCACTGTTTCTTTGGCACAATGCCACTGTTGACTTGATAGGCATTCTGGCAATACATGTAGATGATTTCATATTCTGTGAAAATGATCTATTTCAGAAAAATGTGATTGGAGAATTGAAAAAGATATTTAAAATTGGAAAGCATGAAAGTGGAACATTTAAATTTTTGGGATTGAATGTTAAGTAAACAAAAAATGGGATTATAATAGATCAAAATCTATATGCTTCAGCTATATCCCCAATAGACATAAAGAAAGGAAGATCATTAAGGAAAAATGATGAATTGAGTCAAGATGAGAAGATGGAGCTAAAGAGATTGACAGGCCAAATGATGTGGGTATCCACCCAGACTCGACCAGATGTATCGTTTGATGTGTGTAGAATGAGTAATATTGGAAAATCTCCAAAGGTGAAGTTGGTTTTCAAGGCAAACAAATCACTAATAAAGTTAAAATCAAGGACAGGTTCCATATCTTTTCCCCAGATTGGGAAACATTCGGATCTGAATATTGTTTGTTATTCAGATGCCACCTATGCTAGTTTGGAGGATGGATCTTCACAAAGTGGTTTTATCATCTTTGTTTGTGGCAAGATGAACAGAATGGCTCCTATATGCTGGTCATGAAAAAAACTTGACCGTGTAACAAAAAGTCCATTAGCCTCCGAAACTATTGCGCTTGGTGAAGCAGCTGATGCTGGTATATTGATAGCCGCCATGCTTCAGGAGATATTCAGACTACCTAGATTACCTGAAGTTCTTTGTAAAACAGACAATGCATCTCTGGTAGAGACTTTAAATTCATCAAATCTTGTGAGTGACCGGCGTCTGAGAGTTGATGTGGCCAGATTGAAAGAAATGATGGTGAAGAAGGAAATTCAAACTGAATGGATCAAGGGCCGAGAACAGGTTGCAGATTATCTGACGAAGATGAGAGCCTCTTCTGAAATTCTGAGAGACTTGTTGCAATGAAGATTTGTATTGCTTTTGTTTTTTTTTTTTTTTTTTTTTTTTTTACACCAGCAATGTTAATCTGAGTTAAGACTGTTGAGTTGTCTCCTCTTGCCTATAGATAAACGGAAGTCTGTTTGGTGTGATCTTCTCTTTGTTTGTTGTTGCAGTTTCCTTTGATAAGAAAATGTATTGCTGATATTTTTACTATAAAAATGTAATTTTTATACTTTCATAGTGTTGTTTTTGCTTGGTGGTTCACTATTTTGCCCACAGCTGGGACCCTAACAGGAACTACCACTCTGGGTCAGGATGAACCTGAAAACAACAGCAATTAAGAGAGTTCCACACTCCCCCAAACCTTGAATTTCCTGATCAGAGACCTTGCTGCAGGATAATTGATGTTACATAACATTTGAGCACACTTATCTTTTTTGCCAATGAAGTCTTCTTGTTTCTAAATATTTTGCTTAGTTTTTGGAAGGCATCTTTTGCTATTCCACAGAGCTTTTCTTCCATTGTCTGTTATAACACTTCCCAGATACATTTTTTTAATCATTTTACCCCAAGCAAGGCAATAAAGCCACTAAGATGCAAGAGGTTACTAAGACTGAAAGAGAGAGAGAGAGAGATAAAAGGCAAGAGAGAGAGAGAGAAAAGGCAAGAGAGAGAGAAAGCAAAAAGATGGAGAGAGAGAGAGAGCGAGAAAGCAATGTGAAAGTGAAAAAGAAAGTAAGCAAGCAAAAGAGGGTGAAAGAAAGAGAAAGAACAAGAAAGCGAGAGAGAGAAAAAGCAAAAGAAAGCAAGAGAGCGAGATAGCAATGTGAGAGTGAAAAAGAAAGCAAAAGAGAGAGAGAGTAAAGGAGAGAGAGAGAAAGAGAGAGAGAGATTAAAAGAGGAAAAGAATAAAGACAGACTGTGTTTGAGATAAATATCACAGACACCCATTCTTTGAAATCATTCCAAACATCTGTTGACATAAAATTCATAGCAATAAAACAAAATATAAAAAACTTCAATCACAGCCCAATAAAATTTTGCTGATTGTTCTTAACCTAATGCCAACAGGAATTTCAAATATGCTGAAAGTTCGTCAGTTGAAACAGAACAAGATTAGACTGAGTACAATAGTGTCAAATTGTCTCACTACTTTAAAAGTTAAGTTAAAAAGGATATGAAAAATTGACAACTAAAACAAAACAAGAAAGGCTAAAAAAAAAAAAAAAAAAAAAAAAAAAAAAAAAAGGTCAGTGATTCACAAATGGGAAGAATTTTAAACTTTTTTTTTCAAATGTCATTTCTCTTCAAGTTATAGGCAATCATGGCTCTCCACAGATTCCATTTACTTTTAGGCCACACTCACTTCCTATTAACAATTAAGTCTATAGAAAGTTACAAGTCATTTGGTAATGTCATGGTCCCTTCAGGACGTAAGCGATCATGGCTCTCCACAGATTCCATTTACTGTTAGGCCACACTCACCTATTAACAATTAAGACTATAAAAAGTTACAAGACATTTGGTAATGTGATGTCCTTTCAGGATGTAGACGGTCATGGCTCTCCACAGATTTCATTTGCTATACTCTTTAACTACTCCATTCTGATTAACAAAGAAACAGAAAAGTTTTGGTAGAAACAAAGAAAAGAGTACTAAACTGTTATGCAGTATTGGTCCTCTGATATGGCAGTGAACGCTGGATAATCTGAAGAAGAGATCTGAAGCAATAGAAATGTAGTTCTACAGATGGATGCTGAAGATACCATGGACAGAACATGTGAGCAACAACAAAATTATGGAGGAAATGGAAACAAAAAAACACTTGAAGTTGAAGTTTCTAGGGCACATAATGTGGAAAGAGGGCTTGGAAAATTTGTTCGCTGACATCCATAAAAAAATTGTCAAAAAAGAAATGCTGGCAACTTTTGCTTCAGTTTTATATGATTGGATACAGAATTTAACTAAAAGGTCGCATATTATGAAAAACAGAAAATATTTTGATAACTAAATGATGCCATGAATTTATAAGAATAATAAATTTGCCAAAAGAAATATAAAATGAAAAATACTATAAGCTCACTGAGTGCTTTTTTTTATTGTTGCCCTGTGCCATACTTAGCTAAACTAAGTTTAAAGAATACCCTGCTCTATTGCTAAAGTAATTGCACACTTCTTATTGATACCAGTGGTCTGTGTTGAAGACCAGGAAAGATCGAGAATTGCATGGAAAACTGATGCTACACAATCTTCCTAAAATTTCATCTGTCCACTTCATCTTGTGCATTTTATTACTATTGCTAGTATAGTATCTTAGAAATGATACAATTTTATATTGATCAGGGTACTGTGTATTCTATCAAGGACCAAAGTGTTACTCCTCAACCTTCTGCCTGGGATCGGAGAGCAACTTAGACTTTGTGCTGAGATTCAAGTGTAGTATCCGTTTCACCTCTTGAGCAATATCATCACCTTCAGGCAGGATGCAGTATAAAAAAAAAAAAAAAAAAAAAAAAAAGAAAGACAAGCCTGCTCTTGGGGATTCTGAATCTGGAGCAGCATTTCCCATTTTCACTATAATCATAGACTCAAAATATTCCAACACCTTACAAGTGGATGCACATATCAAACAGATCATGTGTCATATTCTACTTCAACCCCCCAAAGGCTTATATACGAGAGTAAGTCAGAAAATACAGTAAAAACAGGCATGTGCTGATGTGCAACACCATGTATCCACATAGGATAATGGGTAGGAAGCTGTGCACAGCATTGCATCATTTGAGTAACAGGGAGCAACAAGATCAGACATATGAATGCACTAATGAGAAATTGTGCAATTGTGGGACAACACACCGTAGTGTACTTTCTGTGGACAGAGGGTGTCACACCTATGGAAATCCATTTCTGGATGTTGGATCAATATAGAACACACCATGAATCAATGAAAGGTGTATGGGTAGGTAGAACACTTTAAAGCAGGAAGAACTAGTACAACAGAAAAAAGCCGGTCTGGTTATCCATCATCAAATCTATCTATAAAAGGCAGGATGTGTGTGTGTAACGAATGCATGCCCGATTTCATGCTTCTATGGCAGTTTTCATGTAGTTTGCAGCCATTTTGTACTGGCCAGAGTGAGAGCCTATAGCTGGCTGCCACGAATAGGCAAGATTCTATTGGCCAGCATGAGAGCCAACAGCTAACTGACACGAATGTTAACTAGCATGAAAAAAAAAAAAAAAAAAAAAAAATCAATCAATAGCTGCATTCGTCACAAGTGGGAAAAATTTAAATCTGCATGGCAATTTACTCCAATTGGCTCATTCGCTTGCTTAAACTCAATGTTTATTCTGATTTCGCAGAACTGGGTTGGGTGTGAAAAAGTATTTGTTGTTAACATTCTTTTTTCATTTGGTTTTTCCAGTTACGAGTCCTTTTTTAAAGCTGATTATTTTGTGTTCATTTTGTTTAGTTCTTTTTTTGTAACAGATTTAATGTTTAGTATAGAGCTTAGAAAAAATTCACAGTGTGAGATAGGCAAGAAGTAAGGCATGTAGCTTTAAAGGCAAGGAAGGGCAAAAATATTTTAAGTCAAGTGATAGCAATTGCTGTATGAGTCGTACGATTTTTGAATCAAGCATGGGCAACGCCAGGCTATGCTGCTAGTCTCTCATAGAAGAACACGTCCAGCGGGTGGATGTCTTGATCAGGGAAGGCTGACAAATCATGTTAGCACAAGTTGTGGCAATTATGGGTATTACGTATGGATTTACACAAGACAGAGTGCATGAGGATTTGTTTATATTGTAAAATTTGTGCATGTTGGGTGCTCAGACAAAAAAGTGTTTTTTTTGTACAATGATGTTCCCCCTATACAAGGCCAGAGAACTAATCAATGTATAGGGTTACAGAGTAAAAGACATGGTTTATATTGAATATGTAGGTTAAGATAACAGTTAACCAAAGACTTGAACAGGTTAAGATCATAGTGATTGGGGAAGTATCCTCTTGGGAGTCGATAGTGGGCCTTAGCCATGAAGGTTAAAACTGATGGAACTAAGGAATGTACTTCATCTAAGCATTTTCCATGGAAGTAGGGATAGCGCAGTGAAAGACTTGCTACATCTCATCTGTAAGAGAGGGGCTGCAGGGTGGACAATAATTTATCACTTATGAGGACGCTGATGCACTTTTGAACTCTCAAGACTATCAAATGAGGTCTGGGCAGCTCCTGTCCAAATATGACAGCAATACTCAATTTTAGGCCTGGTCTGGTTCTTATAAAGCTAGAGAATATCATGAGGAGTCAGATACTTGCTAGAGCGATACAGAGAACTGATCATTTTTCCAGCATCTTTAGCAATGGATCACATCTATGAGTTCAAATTAAGGCCTAGGTTGATTTTGAGGCCCAATATTCGCTCATGGCAAGGGGCCTTAACAAAGAAACATCCATTCATCATGACTAGTGGTAACTGAGGGTTCAATCAGTGATGATGGAATATAACTAGTTTGGTTTTGTGATGTTAATGAACACTCATCACTTTTGTGATGTCCACGAACAACCGTTGTCACTTTTGTAATGTTCATTGTAGTAGAGACTTTGTAAACACAGATACAACTATAGTAACGCCGTTGAACAATACGGCCTCAGACGGCCTCAAATAACACTCGCACTAATAGTACTTGCTCAATAATACTCACTCGAAAACTAACCACCAAATAGTAATCCATATACTAATGAGTAAGCAATAAGAGTGGTTTGATACAATGTGCATAGCATGGTGGGTCCTAGCTGTGAAGGTTAGAGCTGGTGGATCTAAGGAATGTAGTTCATCTGAAAACTTTCCATAGAAATAGCAATAAATCACCTTTCAGAAGTGATGAAAAAACTTGAATGATAGTGCATCTTTGTGTGAGGGGAGGGGCTATGCTAAAAAGTGACATGCATTTGTTCCTCATCATTGGAAATAAAAGATATTGCATGGAAATTACCTTTAATTTTTGATTTACCCTCGTATATGTGGTACTGTTAATGAAGAAATAAATAAACATTATTATTATTAAAAACAACTGTGGCTGAGGTATTAAATAAATGTTTTCTCCAATAAACTGAAAATACAATTATGTAACAACAAATGTCTAATCCAAAAATAACTAGACACGAACAAAGTTAATTTTAGGTCACCAATCGTGACTGGCCACCAATAATGACAATGGATACAGCAATTATTCTGACGCTTTATTGGACAGGTCAGCCTTCATATTTATTAAGCTTAGCATGTTCTGGCAGAAGCCTACAAATATGAAACACTCAAAGATTAAAATAATTACAGTAGTCTGGATGTGTGGGTGGTAAAATGAATAACGTGATGTGAAAGTAGAATTTGCTATCAACATGCAAATTCCAGGTTAGACTGTTGTATTTACCAAATGCTCTTGGTAAAGACATGGATCTGTATACTCTTCTTATTCCCAGCTCTGAGTTAAATAGCAAGGTAGACTAGTGTAGCAATATCAGTGTCAGCCAATATCTGGTTAAATGGAAAACACCTGACCTGTCACAAAAATTGTTCACACAAATTATTTCAAGGGTTCCACAAGGGTAAAAAGTTGAGAAATGGTGTTCTCAGAATTGTCTTTTTTAAGACCTAAAGAATTCCTTTGTTTGAAGCCATTTTTAATCATTTATCTGAGAAAGTGGTTGTATATGATTTGGATACTATGTGTGACATCCACATGAGAGTCTACATCTGACAAGGCTATTTAACAACATGATTTCATTAATTCTAGCTCATAGTTTAGGCATTTCTAAATGAGTTCTAAATGCAGTAGTTAATAAAAAGAAATATTATAAAATGGAAGTTAATCTCATCTCTTATGAGAAACAGGATGGTACTATAATTCTCATACTTACAACTATATTACATTGAAACACCAGTTCACATAC